ACGTAACATTTTGGGGGCTCGTCCGGTCGAAGTGTTGAGATCGTGTGATGCTGCGTTCTCCGGTCGTCACAAGGAGCAGGATACTATAGCGGAAAATATAGAAGGAGCGATGGAGACAGATCGAGCCGCTTTAGAGGAAATGGTTCCACGGGCTGCTTCGCAGGAGACAACTCCGGCGACGTTGGCTCTTCAGGCGGTACTTCGAGAGGTGCAGCAGTTACGTGAGGAGCAGCAGCGTACGAAAAGCGAATACGCGGAGGCAACACGACAACGGGACTCGGAGATTAAATTGCTGCGAGAGGAGCTACGCAATTTTAAACAGCTAAGTCCTTCTATTAATAGAAATATTATCACGGACGCGGGTGATTATAGTCGCGCACGGCTTCCGGTGAACGACGGTTGTGCCGAAAATACGTGTGAATGCCTCGGACCTTGCGCTTCGTTTCGCGGAGTGTCACGACTTTCATCGGGCGTGTCGCGGGTGATCAGGAGTGCCGTGAATCGGGTGCTACGCGTCACGTGGAGGCGGCTGTCGCGGGGGAACGAGGGAGCATTGAGTCGCGTCGCGTTGAATCGCGTGCTCCGCGTCACACGGAGGCGACGTTCGCGGGGGAACGGGAGCGTATTGAGTCACGTGCTTCGCGTCATGAAACACCATATAAATTAAAGCCTGATACTTTTGACGATAGTGCTCCCCTTCGAGAGTTCTTTGCTCAGTTCGATTTAATCGCGTACGCGAATCGTTGGAAGAACGAAACGAAAACGGCTGTTTTAGTTTCGTGTTTGAGAGGGAAAGCGTGCGCGGTGTTGGAAAATATGCAAAATTTAAAGGATTTGGAATATTCAGAACTGAAAGCTAAATTAGAATTGCGTTTCGGGGAGGCACACTCGCTTCAGAATTATTATACGCAATTTACGAATCGAAGACAAAAATTCGGAGAGAATATAGCGGCTTTCGGTTCAGATGTTGAAAGGTTGGCTCGATTGGCGTACCCGGAATGCCCTGATTTGATGCGCGACAAAATCGCTTGCGCACAGTTTGTTTCCTCCCTGTCTGACGGTTTTGTAAAAAGGGCATTGCAGATGGAAGGGGTTACATCTCTTAGAATAGCCATAGAAAGAGCTAAAGCAGTTCAGTTAATTCAGGGAACTTGTTTTGAAAATAAGAGAGAAAATAATTTTTATTTAGAAAATAAAAAGAGGAAGTTCTTTAATGATAAGAAAAGCAAACAACTAGAGATTAATAAAGGAAAGGAGGATGATAAGGAAAGAAGTAAAGACATTAATAAAAACGGAAATTTTTTTAAAAATAAAAATGGAAAAGTCAGAAATAAAAAAGAATGCTGGGAATGTGGCAAAGAGGGCCACTTCCGTTCTGAGTGCCCTGGCAGGACAGGGGCGGAAAACATGAATTAGTCGAACTCGTCGTGGTCGGTTCGGCTAAGAGGAAAAATACCCCGAAAGATACGTTTATCAATCGACGTATAGGTATTAATAATTATGCGCACACACACATTTCTGATGTTACTAATAATCATTCTTTCAGGTTTAATAAAAATGATAAAAATAAAAATGAATATACTCAATGTTCTTCTTGTATTGAAAATTTGAATAATTTGTACACTAATCCGTTTTCTTTCAGGATGAATAGAATA